CACACACACACAGACACACACACACACAGGTCGACATCGTCGCAGTCGCAGGACACGGAGAGACAGGGCACTAAAGCGACTGTAAACAGTACTGTCATCATGAATCATAATCTCTTGAGGATGGCTTTCGCTATCTCCATAAGGGCATTGCACATCATTTTGTTCGCCTCATCCGTCGTAGCATAATGTTTCCTTTGCACTTCCACTTCGCTCTCTAGGATTTCGCACTGCCGTAACATCATAGAGCATTGCCGCTTGCTTGCGCTGTCCATCGTGCTCGCATGAGCGCACCATGTTTGTCCATGACCTCGGCGACGACCTCAAAGGTTTGTTGCCGCATGTTTTTCCTCTTCCCAGAACCGCTGGTGCTCTCCACGCTGAATGTCGAATCTTCCGTCGACCCCTGGTCCTCGTTGGCTGCCTCCCCTCCACCCTCATTGGCCATGGATTCCCTTTCAGCCCCCGCGCCTGCCGGCATCTGAACCCCCCCCTGCCGCCCCGGTGTCCGCCAAATTCTTTGGGTGGATCGTGTGATCCCCCTTCGTCATGGCCTCCATCTCGTCGTACACGCTCCGGTCCATGATGAAGTTGAAGCCCTCCGATCGCCTGACCGATGAAGCAAGCTTGAAGTAGTCCTTCCCGCCGGAGAGGTGTTGAAACTTGTGAACCTTCTTCAATTGCTGCATCAAGTTATCCCATTTTTTCCTGCAGTCGATGGCCTTCCTCGTGACGTCTGCAACCTCGCCCGCACATCCTCCCACTTCCATTCCCTGGTCTTCATGTGTCCGAAATTGTGCCCCATCCCAGCGATATAGAAATCTTGATCCCTTTTCGCCCTCACGAGTGTGATCGTGTCTCCGACTGACCAGAAATTTCGAGCTCCCTCGCCATCGTTCCCGCCAGTGTCGTCCTCCATTTTCTTATTCCGTCGATTTCTCGGAGTGGAACCCTTCTTCGCACTCGCACCACCGTTTCTCACCTTCCTCCCAAGGGGCCTAATCTCAGGCAAATCGTCGGAGTTGCAATCCTCATCACCGTCAACATCGTCACAGTCGAGGGGCTCTTCAACACCCTCGTCGACGCTGTCGTCCACGTGGAGCCATTGCACCCCTCTCGTTATTGTCTCCGTTCCAGCTTGATGCAAGGTCTGCCTGCACTCTGCCCATAACTGCTTGGTGTCGCGTTCTACGTGCACACCTCCATCATGCAAATCCTCCTGTCGCTGCCGTCCTCGAGGAGTCCCGGTGTCGGTGTGAATACCCTTACAAGGGCATCCGCCCTGGTATTTGCAAACGACAGGAAATAAGTTTTGATTAAAAGTTTAAGCATGCCGCGTGAGTGGCAGCTGCGTTTGTAATCTACGTTGGTTGGATGGTTGACTAGAGTAGAGAGTGTGTGGGCGCGCAAATTCGAGGCGTGCGTGATCGTTTTATTTTTGGTTAATGATTGTGAAAGTCGGCATAGCTGTCGACCCAATTTTTACTTCTCATTAAAGTTAGGATTGAAAGGATTTTGTCTTATTGATTGGTGCGCTTGCCTGCGACCTATGCGTACGTACGGAGGACGACATTAACAACAAAGTAATTTTAGAGACGTTTCAGTAGACCTGCGCGTCGCGCAGTACCGGTTTATTTAGGTGTCCGTCAAAACTAGACCCGGACTTGGACCTAGCTTTATTGGTTACGATTTCAAACTTCTACCCGTGAGATCCAGGGATAGAGGCCAGCGGCGACAACGCAGGAGTATCGGAGCGGCAAGGAGGAACTCGAGTGCGGGGGTTGCTGCGGGTGCACCGCCCGTTAACTGCAGTTTGTTGTGAGAGGTTTGAGCGTGAGTATGCCCGGGTGGGGCCTGGAAATATGGCGGGCCATACCAAGTAGAGCATACCAGGGCAGAGTAGCTGAGGCCGTAGTTGGTTTGCATAAAGCCCCTTTCCGCTCAGTCCTAAAAAACTCCCACTAGAACGCCTGTTGCTACCACCAGGGAATGCGCTAAGGTATGTTTCAACCAGGCCTGTGCTGCCGATTTTTGCAGCAGGAGCATCGGGGATCATCCCGACGACCGAGTACAGGTCGGGCGCAGTGGCGCCCTCTGATTCTCGAGCCGACTAATCCGACAGACGAGCTGGTGCGCACTTTCCCAGCTGACTTCGGCCTTAGCGGACACCATTCCGCTGTCTGTATCAGCCTACACGCCCTACAGTGGCTGGTTCAACCCGTAGATCGGCACAAACGAGGGTAGGAGGCGACAAAGGGAAAGGTTGAATCCGGAAGGGGAGTTGAGGTAGGTGCGAGCAGAGGGTAGAGAACGATGGCGGCCTGTGTTGAAAGAGAGGCAGGGTGAAGACACAAGAGATGAGAAGGAGTGAGCAAAAAGAAAAAAGAAAAAAAAGGCGCAGCGGCGCCCTCTGATTCTCGAGCCGACTAATCCGACAGACGAGCTGGTGCGCACTTTCCCAGCTGACTTCGGCCTTAGCGGACACCATTCCGCTGTCTGTATCAGCCTACATGCCCTAGGGTGTTTGGTTCAACCTGTAGATCCTGTCTCTTATACACATCTAGATGTGTATAAGAGACAGGTGGCGCCCTCTGATTCTCGAGCCGACTAATCCGACAGACGAGCTGGTGCGCACTTTCCCAGCTGACTTCGGCCTTAGCGGACACCATTCCGCTGTCTGTATCAGCCTACATGCCCTAGGGTGTTTGGTTCAACCTGTAGATCGGCACAAACGAGGGTAGTAGGCGACAAAGAGAAAGGTTGAATCCGGAAGGGGAGTTGAGGTAGGTGCGAGCAGAGGGTAGAGAACGATGGCGGCCGGTGTTGGAAGAGAGGCGGGGTGAAGACACAAGAGATGAGAAGGAGTGAGCAAAAAGAAAAGAAAAGAAAAAACGAGGCACGAACGCAGTAAATGGGAATGCACCCGGACGCGATTTGCGCCCGATCCATTCGTAAAGTGAGATAGAGGAGAAGCGAAGATGGCGACGAAAGGTTATAAAGAGAGAGAAGGAGGTGACTCTCTCGATTCTCAGTAGGATCGAGCGCAGTAAGAAGGTAGGTAGAGGTTTGTTAGTAGGGCGATTTTAGATTTGAAGTTAGTTTTAGCTAGAAGTTAGTGGATTGGGCGCTACTAAGGGCTTACTCACACAAGGACCAAAAGAACGAAAAATTTGAGGCATCTGGGTACGGTTATTTGGGTCATTTGGTCCCTGTGTGGTCACACGTGCCGACTTCGTCCAGAAAGGACGAAGTCGCAACCCTGACACTTTGCACTCAGGGCAAGGTCGTGTGGTCACACGAGGGGACACCAAAGAAAAGAAAAGGAAAAAAAGGAAAAAAGAAAAGAAAACCAACTTCGGCTGGTTGTCTTATTCTTCTACGATTTTCTACAAATTGAGGAAAGGAAACGAAAAAACCGTTTGGTCATTTGAGACCACCTCTGGAGGTGGTCTCAAAAAGGGTACCCCCGCGGCCTTGCAGGCCGCTGACATTTGGTCACGATTTTAGGCATTTGGGTACATGGCCAACTCCGTGTGACCACAAAAATGCCTCAAATTTTGGGATTTTGGTTCATTTGGTCCCCGTGTGAGTATGCCCTAAGAAGAAGTGTTGCGCGGGGTTACGGCAGAAGAGAAGTAGAAGGAGGGTGGAACAAACGTTTTGTACTCATCTGTGGATGAAATTAGACAGGGGAAGATTCGAATCCGGGG